TTCATTTGAACACCTTAAAATTTGCATGTCTGTGAGTGACCTCCTATTCAGGTATAAATCTCTTTACTCACTATTTTTATATGATTATGTGAGTATCACTTAATACTATTTATCTATTTTGATATAGTCAAGTGAATGTTGGCTTTCTATATCTTTTATCTTGTTATTTCAATATGGTCAAGAAACATTAGATAATCCTAAATCTTTTTTCATTATTTTGATATGGTTAGGAAAATATTAAATGTTCATTTGATTCATTCTCACTATTTTGATTTTGTCACATGAGTGTCAAATCATCATTTTTCACTATTTTAATGTGGCCAGACATATGTTGGATTTAAATCCTTCTTCTTCACTATTTTTATATGGTCAAATGAACATTAAGTTGTTATCATTCATTATTTCAATTTTTCAAGTGAAGGTTCAAACATTTAAAATCATTCCATTTAAATATCCATCTAAAATCCACTTGTTAGGGATAGATCGCCTTTTCAAATATTTTTAAGTGTGAATCTATCTGGTTGGGATTATTTTCCTAATGTATATCTTCAAACAAAATTGACTTTATTAGGATCATCCTTATAGGTTTTTGTTAATTAAATCTTTTTGGATTTTACTAATTATTTCAGTCAATGCTAATATGTGTGATTTAGTTTTTAAGTTCATCACAGCTATTCTTGTGCTATTTGTTGACCTCATTTTCTATGAGGTCAATTTTTTCAGCTTCACTTTCATTCATGTTGTTCAATCATTAGGTTCCATTTAATCACACAATTAAAAATTCAAACATTAAACCTAATACATTCAATATTTTTAGTTATAGAGATTTAGTCATTAAACTTGAATCAATTACCAATACTCAATTAATTAAACCTAATCCATCCACTATTTTTAGCTATAATTATTCAATCATTAAAATTCAATCAATTACTTAATCATTAAACCTCAATCATTTAATTAATAAAGCCTGAATATTAAATCATTATACAATCATTATAATTTGGTTCAATAATTTATTGATTATTGATGAGTTAATCAAGCCTAAATTAACCATCAAATCTCAATCAACCATCAAGTTCAATTCTCTATTTAATATATTTCTACCAACTCTATTCAATCATTACACTGAAGTTTAAAATTTTAAATCCATTCATCATGCTCAATCCATGGTGACTCAATCATTAAATATTGTTAAACTTAATAAAATTAAATCACTAAATGACCTTCAATCATTCTAAATCATTCAATCATCTTCAACGTTCAAACATTCAAATCAAGCCCTAACCTACACTTTAAAAGCCTTTGGACTTTTCACTTTTATAGGAAGATTTTCAATTTGAACAAAACCCTTGGTAAAGACCTTAAAATTGTGTTTGATCATTTATATAGGGTATTATACATACCCTTAAAACCTAACTAATCAATTTGGTGGCCTCCATTCCCTTCTACTTTCTAAAACTCAAAGCATCTCCCTAATGTCCAAATCCTTCAAATATTTATAATTCATGGAAATCTACATAGCATCTTGATTCAAATTCTTTTGAAACTTATGAAAGTTATTTAAATATGTTTATAATAATCCTTGTAATAATTTTAACCCATTTGAGTCCATGGTTGACCGTAGTTGACCTAGGTTGACAAAGTTTGACCAAATGCTCTTTAAACCCTAAAACATTTCCATATTTATGGAGCATGTTGCAAACTCCATTCCAAGCCTTAGGTTTAACTCCTAGGCACTTAACTATTATCTTGGATCATTATAAAACCAAAGTGAACCCTTGCTTGGGCTAGCTTTACCATGATTGGTCAACTTTATCCAAAAGGATCCATTTGATATAAACTCTTTAGTCATGCATATGAACACATTCAAACTTTACCAATGCTTCCTAAACCTTCTAAACATTAAACCATACATGCATAAACATAAATGAACCTTTGGTGGACCATAGTTGACCCAAGTTTTTCCAATCGACATTGAACCTAAAATAGACCGAAATGAACCCTAAATGCAATTCAATTCTTGTAGACCATGGATTGACCTACAATTACTTCCAATAAGTTTTAAATGTGAAATGGAATACATTGAACCCAATGCTAATGTTTGGTCAATCTAGATTAACCAAGTCAACCTAGGTTGACCAAGCTTTCTATATGGGTCAACCTTTTTAATTCATGTGATATAGGATAACCCAAGGCCATTAAACCCCTTGGGACTATCCATTGGATGGCCAAGGATCAAAATAAGAATGTTCATCGCTTGGGCTCACATGAGCTAGCTATTTAGGCCGACCTAACTGAACCCAAAAGAGTTTTTGTTTTGAGATAAAACCCAACCCATTTGAAATTAAATCAAATTAGTGCACGCATTAGGAGCCTATAGGTCTTATACATCAACCCTAGTAGGCCTAGCCCATGGGCTTGGCTAACCCAAGTTACTAAAAATAAGCATTTAAACGAAGTCTAAATTTTACATGTATTAATTTTTTAATGTTTATATATTGCATCCACTTATTATTTTTAAGTGGAGTCTAGATATTGTACGTATTAATTTTCTATATTCAATACTTTAACCTTTTTCATTTTATTTTTTTAATTTTGAGCTAAAATACCTTATTTTGCTATCAAATACCTATCTATTGCCTCCACACAATATACTTTCCTTTATGTGGTTTAGAATAAATCTACTAATTTAATTTACATTAATCCTAAAATCTAATATACCTTTATATGTAGTGAAGTGCCTAAATGATTTTTAGTAATTTAACTTATCCAAAATTACTAATTTTAAATGAAATGATTAGTTTTTATTTTATAACTATTTTATTAAGAAAACTTCACAAGTTTTGTACTATTAAATACATAAGGATCTTAATTTTGCATTTTCCAAAATTTATAACTCAAGAAAAAAGTGCAATAGGTAAGGCAATTAATTTTTAAAATTTATAGAAGTTTGATTTCATTCACTTTTTTTCCAAATTTTAACTTTTTATGAAAAAAAAAATAAATAAAATGCAGGAAATTACTGCAAAAAAATAGAAAGTTACAAAAAAACTAAAATAAACAGGGAAAGAAAAAACAAGTAAAATTAAACAACTAAAAATGTTAATAATAATAATAATAAACTATGTGGCCAACAATAAGGCTCTCCTTAAACCTCATCATCATCTTCTTCTTCTTCTTATTCCTGAGGTGCTACTGCTGGTGCCATTACCAAAGGTCCTGCACCAAGATGTATCTAAAAGGGGGATGGGTTAAAGAAAAAGCTTAGTTGATTGTAGGAGTCTATCTCCCAGCTCCATAACAAGACTACTATAGTTACATTATAGTCAGCTTAATACTGAAACTACATTTGTTACTGCAACATTATGTGGTTATTGCATGCATACATACCTTGTTCAAAACTAGTTAGTTTTTACTTGAAGTGATTAATAAAACCCCTGAAGTGATGAACTATATCCCAGAGGTTTTCTACTTGATCTACTTGTATCTTAGGATCTCCACCCTACTGTTGCATGGATTGGTTCAGTTAATATGATCCCCAACCTCGCTTTGACAAGATTATTTCAATGGATATGATCTTAGACCTTGTCGGGGAGGAAACAAGCATAACCTACTCCACCTATGGGTTTTCTAGTACCTAGTTAACTCACAAAGATCATAGATAATATTATGATGCTTTGGCCCTACAAAAGTCAATCACTTGAGCATATAGTGAAAAGATTGAAAAATTATTTTACCAAAATCTACAGTCATATCTTTTTGCATATAATATTTTTAAATAACATTATCCTTAATTAATTCACTAAGGTTTCTACTTAGGAACAAATTCACATGAATGAAGTAATGCCAAGCCTTGGAATCTTGGATGAGGGAGGAAGTAGAAAAGTTTATGATTTTATACTCTCCCCTCATTCAATGAGCATTTAAGTCTCTCTATGTAAGGAATCTAATTATTTCATTATAATCTATGGCAGTCTTCTAGTCACTAGCATTAATCCATGCTCACTATATATATTTAGGATGATAGATCCAAGTTTGTCCATGGGTGATACCCAACCATACTTGCACACAAGCTTAAAAGATTGGAACCCTAAAAACTATGGCGAGTACGAAGATAATAAGAAGAATGGTAGGGGAAATTATTTCATTAGTTCAATAATGCCTTTAGAATCTGCCACAACTCCAAAATATACTTATTTATCCTTTATTTATAGGGATCTGAGGGCTATAAGTAAGGCTATACCAAAAATATAAAAGCACCACAATAAATTAGACCCGACACACTCTACCTTGGACATATGTCTTGCTCCAATAAGTGGTGTATGACTGCTTCTTTCTTGTCCAACTTCTTAACATAGTGCCGAGTTCCCTAGTGTCGAGTGTTTATGTGAGAGTTCATGGAGACGAGTCCTCAAATTCTTTGAGTAGGAAGGACTACTATCGATGAGTCCTTTGGTTTCACGGGCAACCTCTTTGTGGGGAGTCCTTATGTGCTTTTGGTATAAGTAGTGAGTAAACTTGAATTGTGGGGGTAGTGGCCTCCATGGTCAATTGCAGCTAATGTAGTGAGATTAGGTCTCCTTGAAAAGGTCGTTCCTTATAGGTAGCTTGCTGGATTTCATTAATGGCTTACCACTCGAGGTGATGTCGAGTCACCTTAGGAGCGCATTTCTCTTCCCAATTTGAGAGTTCCTGTGCGAACCCTTGGTATTCCGTAGAGAGACAACTCCTATTAGATTGTGTTGTCAAATTGAGGATGATCCATATGGCTGAGTCTTCATTACGAGAGTCTATAGAGTTTAAGTTCTCCTATTATGACATGTTAAACATTTATTAAACAGCTAAGAAGGCACACCGAGAAAAGTTTGTATCTCATTGGGCTACTTATTGGGTCAGATAATTGGATCGAAATTAATGGGTTAGAAAAGTTTATACCTGATGCATTTACCCGACTTCGATTAACTTGGTTCCTTGAGCCGAAAGGCGGTTGTCCCGTCGACCAATATAAATCGAAGTCTGCGGGAGGAAGTCGAGTAAGATACAGCGGAGCGATAAAGCGAAGAGGGATGGCATCGAAGTCGATCGCTCACGATGTGGCCGCATACCAAGATGCCCTTCGCTTCGGTTTGGACGGCGTCAAGGGAGAAATCGTTGGATCCCATCCCCTGGAATATCTGCGGGAGACGGTAATTGAGAACTTTATTCCAATCATCTTTTTTGCCATCAGCGCACATAAATGTTGTCTTTTTATTTTATTTGATCCATATATGGACGAGAAAATCTAATTCTTTCTTGTTTCTTGCCGGTGCTTTGCTTATTTTACAGGCTAGGAGGGACTTGGAGGAGAAGAAGCGGCTGATTACGGATCTCACTTACGGATCTGCATTCAGTTTGAAGATGGACCTTGACAAGCAGATCCTCTCAAGGTTTGGGTTCTCACTAGAGCAGCTTCAAGTAATTTGAGCAAAGCGAATACATTACTTAAACTATGATTAATTAGTGTATTATCTATTGGTGATCTAGTTTTCCTAAGTGAATAATTATTTGACCTATAGGAAAGCCTTCAGTTTTGACCCATGTTAGTTACAAGCATTTTTTGCTCTCCTGAAAGGCTAGAAGCTTGATTTTACCTATTTACTTTCTATCACTAATTTATTGTTTAGTGGCATATCTATAATGATATGAAAGCCTTCAGTTTGGCCTATTTACTTTCTGTCACTTTCTATCCAGTAATGATATGAAAGACTGGCATCAAGCCTATAATAATTAGAAACTTGAAGTTTCTATCTGATATGAAATTCAATATTTCTAAGTGTAATTCACAGTGTTTTAAAGTGCCCATGAGAATATAAGGAGCAAGTCTTTCGATTTACTTACTTTGAAAATTATTGCTTTGTTAATTAATAAACATCTCACATTTGATGAGATTTAGAAAACCCTCACTTAACGTAGCCTAACAGTCAATGAATTGGTAAGTACATTTTTGTTTTGGGTATCCAGTTTGGGTTGAGGGAGTTTCACGATTTTGTAGGTATGTGTGTTTTGCTTTTTTGCTATAATGGCTGGTTTTAGTGTTAGTATGTTGACTTTTATCTACCTATAAGCTATCACGTTACATTAGTTTATTACTTATTTATTATGAATTTGTCAAAACTTTGTGCAAATACATAGTTAATTATGAGCTCCCATAATTTTTTCCCCTTATATAATCATCAAGTTCATTCGTTAATTTTTTTTTTTTTTTGCTAACAAAGAGGATATACAGAAGTTGATATGCACAATTTGACTTAGCATTAGGATTGTTCATGTAATTGTTGAGTCATGATACTCCTTTACATATGAAGTTTCTGTCACTATATGTTTCTGTCAATGAATTTTGTATGAACTGGTTAGTTCACTAAATTTAACATTTTTTTAATTAAAATATTCTTCCTTCTCCTCATTTTTATTCTCTTTTAAATTATTGTAGCTTTGTTAGTAATCCTACATGTGAAGTCTTTTTTCCTTTTTTTTTGTGGGTTAATTTTTGGTGAGGTGCTTGGTAGGAACTTCGAGTTACAAAGACTTCTTCTAAATACCTTATTTTGATAAATTGTGAATTCTCCTTTGCGTTTTGCTCATTTTGATGCATTGAAAATTTGTCAATTAGGGTCTTTAGTAGTAAGACTTGCTAGTTGTGCAATAATTTATTCCACTTGCTTTAATCAAAACAATACAACTTTTTTGCTAACAAAACAATAAACTTTCACTTAGGTAATTGCTTAGATGTCTACTTAAACATCTTTTAGATTTAGGATTGTGAAGTTTGTACTAGATATTGTGGTTATCTCTGAAGATGAACAGACAGCTGTTTCAATTCTACCCTCATGTTCTCTTTGGAATAAAATAAGCAAAAATGTCGTATTCATGTCCTTCATCTTGAGAGCAAACCGCTATGTAGTGATGCATATTGTTGCTTTCACTATGTCTGAGAGTTAGTTTACTGTTTTTTTGCTGCCACTACTAAGAAATTAATTGTTAGTGCCCATAATTGTGAATGAAGTCCCTTGATATTTGAATAAGAATATGGTCTTGTTGAGCTTTGGTTGTGATTATGTTTCCTTTATTGTAGGGTAAATCTATAACAATTTATTATCGGTGGTGATTATGTTTCCTTTATTGTTGCAAAGAAATCAATGCCCCACCTCTTTACTAGGGCTTAACATTCCTTTATTTAAGTGAATGTAGAAATTATAGCATGGTAGCAATATGAGTTATTGAACTAGATTATTAATTTTTTCTAGCTGTAAAGCGCAATGCAAAGCACAAATAAAGGAATAAGAAAATCATAGGAAAATAAAAACCTGATAATATGTGGATAATCTAGAGGAAAAAGTCACATGCAAAGGCACAATTGAAAAAGTAATGAAAATATAGGACAAAACAATTGATGGCGAACTTTTTAAAACATACATATCATTTCCACAACAATTCCCAAAGGGAACACAATAGTTGAAGAACATTGAAAATGTTTGCTGCAAAAATCCTAGCAAATTCTAAACTGTTAAATTTTGTGACTTAATCCCCTTGTTTGTTTTTGTTTCCTACTTTGGTTGTGGCCATGGTTTGGTTTTGTTCTTTGGCTTGCTGGTTTAATTTTTTTTAAGCGGTTTGTTTTTTGCAATCTTATTTGTGGGAATGCACATCTTGTTCACATGATCATACGATCAAAATTACATTAGCATTAAATATAGGCACTTATTTTTCATTGAAAAACTAATTTTCAAATTATAAAATTGCAAATTAAATTCAAATAATCAATTAAGGTTTATTTTTGTTAAAACGGGAATTTGAGAGGGAAAAAGCTTGCTTTATTATATAAAATATTTCCTATTTATAGATCTATACAAGGTCTAATGAAGAAACAAATAACCACAGAATAATTGCTGAAATAAATTCCTTCCTAAACCAAATGTCTAGTTATGGAAGGTATTCAATGTGATCCAGGCGGGCTTCCCACGGATCACCGTTCATAGTCGTGGGATTGGTTTTGTAACGGAAGGTTGAGATTTAACACTCCCCCTCAAGCTGGAGAATATAGATCTGTCATTCCCAACTTGACAATTATTCTGAGGAAAGCAAAACTGTCCAATTCTTTGGTAAGGATGTCTGCAAGTTGATCTTTTGATGATACATAGTTGACACTCACTAGACCACAGTTTAGTTTTTCTTTAATAAAATGTCTGTCCACTTCTTTGTGCTTGGTCCTGTCATATTGGACTGGATTGTGGGCTATGCTGATTTATTGTCACAATATAGCCTTATAGGCTCATCCCACTTGACTTTTAAGTCTTCTAGGATTATTTTGATCAATAGTAGCTCACATATTTTCAAGACCATAGCTCGATATTCTGCTTCTGCATTAGATCTTGTTGCCACATTCTTTTTCTTGCTTCTCCATGTAACTAAGTTACCTCCAAGAAATGTGCAGTATCCAGAGGTAGATCTTTTATCAACTGGTGATCCCGCATAGTCAGCATCTGTGTATACTTCTAGGGTTATTCTGCGATCTCTCTTAAAGAGAATCCCTTTTTTGGTTTTCCGTTAAGGTAGTGCAATATCCTATCTACCTCTTGCATATGAGTCTGCTTTGGATTCTACATAAACCGACTGACCATGCTTACAACAAATGCTATATCTGGTCTAGTTTGAGAGAGGTAGATCAATTTTCCTACAACTCTCTGATAAGCCCCTTTATTTACATCTGGATCTTTTATAGCCTCCCCCAATTTAAGATTAGGTTCTACTGGTGTCGGTGCTAGTTTACTTGTTTCTTTTAGAATATCTTTGATCTATTTCTATTGTGAGATGAAGATTCCTTTGCTGAAGTGAGCCACTTCAATTCTGTGAAAGTATTTTAGTCTACCAAGTTCTTTGATGTCAAATTCCTTAGTATGACTTTTCCTTAAACTAACTTTCTTCTTTTCATTATTTCCAGTCAAAATAATATCATCAACATATACTAATAATATTGTGTATCTCCCTGAGTCTGAGTGTTTGAAGAATAATGTATGATCCCCTTGACTCCGTCGATAACCATTAAGGAGCATGAATTTAGAGAATCTTCCAAACCAGTCCCTTGGTGATTGTTTGAGCTCATATAAAGCCTTTTTTTGTCTGCACATCCTGTGACCTTCAGATTTTTCTTTAAACCCTAGTGGTATTTCCATAAATATCTCTTCTTTCAGAACTCCACGCAGGAATCATTTTTCACATCCAATTATTCCAGATGCCAGTTGTACTTGGCTGCTAGTGAGAGTAGTATTCTAATAGTATTCATCTTGGCTACATGAGCAAAAGTTTTTTGGTAGTCAATGCCATATGTTTAAGTGTACCCTTTTGCCAAATCAAATATTATATTTATGATTTGATGGGGTTTTTTTGGCATTTTGTATTGTGTTATGATGGATCAATTTAGTACTAAATTTTTTTTACTGCACTTTCTAGTTTAGAAAATTTTTATATGTACAAAAAGAAGCGAAAGTATTTGATCAAGTGTAGGCCTTCATTTAGGAGTATCATTTACAGTATCCAGTGAATATATATCCATTTGAACTAGGTAACAAGTACCAAGGATAGGAGATCGTCAATGTTTATATCTTATTATCAATTCCTTTTTTTTTTGTAGAACTAAGAATTTCCTTGACATGCATGTGTAGAGCTCCATTGTCTTTTTTATTTTCTTTTTGGCATGTATATTCAGATTATCCACTTATGCCTGCCTATTCTTTATTCTTTTACGGTCATTATAGCACACTATTTTTTAACTCCTATACTTTCTCTATAAATTTTTGATATGATGTTTTAATTTTATTTACTGCATAATGAGTGTCTCAGTTATAGACAATATTATCAGTCTTTTTAGAAAAAAATTATAGCGCTAACTTTAATAAATTTAAAAATAATTTATAATTAAATAAAATTAAGGCTCCATATGCTACTATTTAAATGACATTTACCTTCCTTTAAATTTTTTTTTTTCTTATGGGATACGAGATAGAGCTAGCTAACAGTGAATACCCCCAAATATTGGTGCACTTTAATGACATAACCAATTAAGCATGTATAATATAAATATTTTTGTCTCTTGAGAATATATAACTTATATTGCATATCATTTTTCTATGTTGGTATGAATTTTTAATATGCTTAGGGGTTATTTTAGTTCGCTAGGTATCAATAGTCCTGATTTAGACAAAACTATAAGTTTAGTAGAGTAGCTCTAGTCATGTATAACTGGGATATCTTATTCACTTTCCTCATGGGCAATTTTCTATATTATTAGAGATTGTAAGTTATTTTTTTCTAGATCTAACTTTTCAAATTTGTTTTTCATTAATTTTTTTTTTAGTTTGAGGTCATGAGGTTAACATTAGATCACCCAATT